CTTGAGTGGTTATGCAAAGTATTAAGTATGTGTATATAATATATGTTAGATATATGACTAATTACTTAAATGGTTAATTTGGTTTGACTGGTTAGGAGTGTCTGAAACCAAACCAAGGTTGTCAAACCGGTTTATACCGTTGTGCCGATTTGGCAAATGGAATGGTACGACCGGTGGTATAACCAGTTTGTGCCGGTTCATGCCGGTTTAAAAAATGTGAAAACAATTAATATCTCATGCATTTAATCATATATAAAACATATTTGTGGACAATTTAGTTACAATCCAACAAATATCATCAACTTTTAACTATTACATTCATAAAATGAATAATAAATTAATTTTTTTTATTCATTAAACTCATTAAAATGATGTCATTTTACTTAGAATGCGTAAGTCGATCAAACCGTTCATACCGGTGGTGTCATGCTGGTTTCATGACCGGTACAGGTTGAACCAGGTTCAACTGGGTGGCATGCCACAGGCATGACAACCATGAACCAAACCAAACCACCTAAACCAAACAAGCTAAAAACTTTAACCAAACCAAACCAATTATCCAAATTAGCCAAACCAAATTATCCAAATAGTACCGATTAAAACGGTTACCATGGTAACCAAACTGTTTGAACACCCCTACCCATGACGACTTCGTTCCTCTAGGTCAATCCAAAAATTGCCTATTTTCCTTCTTACTCCAACCTTTCCACAATTTGTTTCTTTCCCAAATTATTTCACATGACAGACAACATTCTGAACAGAAATGCATAATAAAGAGAATGATAATCTCCTACCAATCTTTGGATTTTGCTCCTTCACACAACAAAACATACCGCAGCATAGATAGCACACCCCAGAAGTTGAAGAAATGACTGGAAAAGAAGAAAAAAAAAAAAGAACCATTCTTCCTGACACATAAAGGTAAACACATTTGTCTTTTCTTACCGCTAAAGAACTGAAACTGGAATCGACACTAAAATCGGAAACCAAAAACCAAAACCAAAACCAAAACCTAACTTTCTGTATATTGATGATAGTCTGACCAAGCACACTCCCACAAACGTCAATCGACATGAAAACCCTCACACCCTCCACAAAACTACACTAACACAGTTACCAACCCTCTAGATCCCAGAACAAAAAACGCAGGAAAGACCAAAACTTTTAGCAGGCGCTTGCAACCCCGTTTGCAGCAACTTTGTTCTCGGATGATTCAACAACAGTTTCGCCATCCTTTGATGCCATTTCACCGGTTGCTCCATTTTGTTCAGGAACCCCAGGTTCCCCGTTTGTCTTCAACTCGATTTCTCCTACTTTAATCGGGCCTTTGGCCAAAGTACCACTTGCAGGCTTTTGCAAGCCATCTTTCACATTCGTTGCACTTTCCAAGACCTGGTTTTGAAAAGCAAGAAAACAGACAGTTCAGAACAAGTTATTACTTGTGCAAACAGCAATCAGAGCGAGATGAGTATCACAAGAAGCTATGTTTGTTACCTGCTTCTGCAACTTCTGTTTGGCCCTCTTCTCCTGCATTATCCTTTCACGGGTTGCATAGAATCCAAAATCGTTCAGAATGGAAGTCTTGGATTTACAGGACTTGAAGATTTTGAGAACCTCAATGCCCTTCTCAAGGACAACCTACACCATACAGCAGTTAAGTGATAAGATTAGTGAGAACCAATAGGATAAAAGGAAAAGCACGCAAAGAAATGGGGAAAAAACCAGAAGAAGATGCTTCTACCTCTTGAGTATCCCTACTATTTGTTACAGGCTTGTTCTCATTATTCTCAAGTGTAATGTGCCTCAAGGTACTATTTGGCACATCCTTGATGATATGCCACTTGACAGGGAAGCAACCAACCCACTTGTCCTGTTGCCAATACTCCACAGTTTTCTCAAAGTCAACCGGGCCAACCATTTCGGCCAAACCAACAAATTGACCACTTGTATTCACCTGCATGCAACAGATTTTTTGTTGAGAAGAGGAACTCACAGGAAGAGACCAGCTTGATTAACTGAATATCTGGAAGGCACTAACCGAAAACAATAAGAATACAGGGCAGTGGCTGCCCTTCGCACTGGCCTCTTTGTAAGCTGCATCAAGTTTCTTATTACCATTCAGAGTGCTAGTCCAAACACCATATTTGATGCTCTTATGGACATCATCTTCACTGTATGATTTAATTACAAAGAACTTAGCATCCGTGTACTCTTCTGGGAAATCCTCCCTGTTATACTGTTCCTTGTCTAAAATTTCACTCGGATTCTCCTCCTTGTTGTTCCCTGTCGTAGGATTGGTCTGCCCCTCTGGAGCAGTGTCAACACCAAAGTCCTTTTGATTCCTAAAACTCTTGGCCCTGGGGCCTTTGTTCAGCTCGCCTGAACCATCCATATTTTCATTGCCGTAGGCACGGCCTTTTGACTTGTACCTGTCAGCAGCCATCCAACCACGCCCATTGCTCATATTGTTATAACCAAATGCATATCCAGTGCCCCGGTTTCCATAATTTTCGTACATTCTGTTGTTTGGATACATCATATAACTAGAGCCTTGCCCAAAACCTGGTACTGGCCTTGTTGAATGTGAATTCTGTAACAACATCAAACAAAAATCATTACAATCTTGGTAGCTGAAGCAGTAGAAGTGGTGGACTTCATTGCAAAACAAGAAAGGATCCCGTGTATGCACATACCATTGAAGAGGAAAAACTGCCTCCAGAAATATGTCCAGATTGACTCCCAGTGAACATAGAGGGATCAACCCAAGGGAATGTTTGTTGAAATGCCTCATAGGAAAATCTTGGATCCTGATAACTTGAAGTCGGGTATGTTGTCCCTAAATTTCCCCTTTTGAAGGAACCATTGGAGTTTGAATACGAATTCTGATTACTTGGTCTGGAAGTAGTAGACTTCAATCCGTTATTTTTATTCAGACTGCCCATATTCCCAGAGTTTGTCCCAGCAACTGGCAGAGGTACTTTGTCGGTCACAGCTGCAGTTGAGACCTCCCCAGGTGAGGGGCTAACCTGGCCAAGTGCACCATTTGAACTAGGAAGCTGATAAAAAGGACTAGGATACTGGTATTGCTGGGTCTCATACAACTGGCTATCATGGGTTGGACCAGCAGAAGCATTTGATGAAGAATATGTTCCATAGGGATAACCTTGGGGATAAAAAGGCGTATCACTATCTCCTAACCCAGCCTGCCAATACACAAGTGGTCAATGCTCTACGACATAAAGCAGGGAAAAAAAGAGCACATTGGAAGGACAAGTGGACCTTATTACATACAGGATGGTGTTTAATTCAGTGATATTAACAAATCTAAGTATGAATAAGAAATCTGAGAAAAGTAGTAGAACTGACATTAGATATCTCAACCCCATCCGGATTTACATATCTACTGTAGTCGTTCCAATCATAACCTGAAGAAGGATGAAGATTTTGCAGCAGAGTTACCGACCAAGAAAAACACATATTGCTCATCAATTTGAAACTAACTTAAGAATTTCAGGTTCATGCCTACTTTAAAAAGGATCCCGGACAGCAAAGTCCTTGATGCGGAGCTTACCTCCGTAATAGTACGCAGATGATGGGTATCCATTAGGATAATAGAACGCATTCGGGTCTACAAGAGGGGTTGTGGAGCGAGTTAATGCCATGGCTTGATTATTAGCCAAGTCATTAGGTCCATATTGACTAGTTGACAGCTATACCAACCAATTTATCATATGATCAGGAAAACCAAACGAAATGGGTACAAAGAACTGAAGCTGGTAAAATTGACTAATCCCAAGCTTGTTACTTACCTTCTTTGCAGGATCCAAAACATCAGTTGTCTTGGCCTGAGGGTCTAGTGACAGGTTTTCCAACAAACCTGCAGTTTCTGTGGGAGTAGGAGTATAAGGATACAACAATATACACAGCCCACAAACTTTAACCTCAAACAATACACATGAATTGATCACATAACCCAAAGAAAATCTGTAATTAACAAATGAACCAATCAAAAATATTGATATGAAAGACAGCTTCTCTTGACATAAGTTGGGCTATCACGAAACTGATATCATCTGCAACCGTAGCACTACTCACAAGTCACAACAAAGGCTCAGAATCAAATTCAAACTAACCACCATGACTATATACAAGTAAATCATATTCATCCATAAGAAATTCAACAAGAAGATGCAGAAAGAGAAAACCAGAGCCCACCCACATAATCAAATCTAAAACCCCTGCAAAACCCAATAACACCACCCGAGGCCACTGGCCAGGAACAGAACCATTCACAGGAAAGAAACCAATATAACCAAATCTTGAGTACTGCTTCAGCAGATTAACAAACTGGAATGGACGAATTTCAGATGCAACACGAACACAAACATAGAGAAGTATTCAGATTTACGGGGGCGGCGACGGCAACCAAGAAAGCTGAAAAATCAGACCCAAAAAAAAAAACGAAAGGCTAAAAAATACCCAGTTCAGGGAATTCCGAAAGGATACGATCAGCAGAAGAAACGCCCGCCATGACCGATACAGATTGAACGAAGAGAGAGAGAGTGAAAGAAAGGAGGGAAAAGGAGATAAACCCTAGAAATAAGGAGGGAAAAAAGAAGAAGGGTATAGGGTTTTAGAGGCGAGGCGGCAGAAGAAGAAACTGGTGGAGAGGTAGAGAGAGATAGACTAGCCGCCACAAAACTGAAAAGGGTTATAGAGAGGGCGAAGGGTGAGAGAGAGAGAGAGAGAGGAGAGGTTTAAGAGACACAAAAATACTCCTTGCTCACAAAACCCTCCACGGATCCACTTCCGTTACCGGAGGATATCTTTTCTCCATTTCTATTCTTTTCCCCCCTTTTATTTTTTATTTTTATTTCACACTGAAAATGCTAATATACTACTTCTACTTTTATGATTAGCTTAACTGCCCCTGAAGCTTATCAGCCGTTAGATCTTCCCTCATCAGTCTATTACAGATCTGACGGCGTAACGACTTCAGCGGCTGCGTTCACCTACCCTCCCCAAATTCTTCTCTTGCTTTTCTTCTTCTCCAACGACAACTCCACAGAAATGCTACTCCACCAACCGCAACTCCATCATCGACCATGGCTTCCACGGCCAATGCCATCTCCCTCTCTCTCTCCACTGCCGCCACCTCTTCTTCTTCTTCTTCAACCCGCCGGGACAATTGCTCTTTCTCGCCGGATTCTGCCTGTCTCAGCTTCCGAAAGCCTAACGGTGGCGTGTCTCTGCGTTTGAGACCGGCGGCGGGAGCTTCTTTGGCGACTCGCCGTACGAGCTGCATAATTCGCGCTACTGCTGCTCCGGTTATGGATCAATCTCCGGTCAGTGACTCTGGTTCCGCTGGAGCGCCTACAGTTGTGGAAGTCGAGTTGGGGAACCGGAGTTACCCGATTTACATCGGATCAGGCCTCCTGAACCAACCCGACCTTCTTCAAAGGTGTGAAATTGCATTTCATTTCGTTTCCCCCTGTCGGCTTTTTGTTTTTTGATTTATCACTCGTTCGGTTTGTTTTCTATCTGCTTGCCGATTATCGATTTGTCTGGATTATCAAGCCTGAGAAATATAATGGAGCATCGGTTTCTAGGATTTGGTTGATGAACGAATGAGCTTTGTTTGAAATTGTAGGCATGTCCATGGGAAGAGGGTCCTTGTGGTGACTAACGAGACAGTAGCTCCCCTCTACCTGGATAGAGTGGTTGAAGCATTGACACAAGGCAACCCTAATGTGACAGTAGAGAGTGTGATTTTGCCTGATGGTGAGAAGCACAAGAACATGGTACGTTCCACCAAGTGGATTTCAATGCGTAGGTTGAGGTGATGCTATAGTTATAGAGGTTATTTAGCTGAATATGGCTTGTTTTCTGCTGACAGGATGTTCTCATGAAAGTATTCGACAAGGCCATCGAGTCACGGCTGGATAGGAAGTCTACATTTGTTGCTTTGGGAGGAGGAGTCATTGGCGACATGTGTGGATACGCTGCTGCGTCGTACTTGCGAGGAGTTAATTTCATCCAGATCCCCACAACTCTTATGTCACAGGTTTCTCTCTTGTGTTAAACCGTTTTGTGTCATGGGTGTTTCTTCTGTGGGGTTTGCCCTGAATGTTTTTGCCTTTTTTTCAGGTGGATTCTTCTGTCGGAGGCAAAACTGGCATAAACCACCCGCTTGGGAAGAACATGATTGGTGCGTTTTACCAGCCTCAGTCTGTTCTGATAGACACTGACACGCTCAACACATTGCCAGATAGGGAACTTGCATCAGGGATCAGTGAGGTTGTGAAGTATGGGTTGATTCGTGATGCCGAATTTTTTGAGTGGCAAGAGAAGAATATGGCTGCACTATTGGCAAGGTAGTCTCCATCACTTTCCAAAATATATTTAGTTAGGATCCAAGAGACTTAACGCCTTATTATAGAAGGGTGTCCTTGTGTTTGAGCTTAGTTTAGCTATGATCAGTTTCTACAGCCTAGACCCCAATATGATCAACAATTTGCATTATACTCAAGTGTTTGGTTCATAATCTGATTCGCGAGTTGGTCTGCCAACCCCATTTGCCACTGTAGAGATCCAAGTGCTTTAGCTTATGCCATCAAGCGATCATGTGAAAACAAGGCCAAGATCGTGTCCTTGGATGAAAGAGAAAGTGGACTGCGCGCTACTTTGAACTTAGGTCACACTTTCGGTCATGTGAGTGCTTGAATATCTTGACTGATTAAGTCTCTGCTTGTTTGATGCATCCTCTGGAACCCCACCTTACTAGTTTAGTCTCTGCTTGTCTGATGCATGTTTCAGGCAATAGAAACCGGATTCGGATATGGGCAGTGGTTCCATGGAGAAGCTGTGGCAGCTGGCATGGTTATGGCTGCTGACATGTCTTACCGACTTGGTTGGATTGATGATTCGCTCGTGAAGCGGGTTCGGAATATTCTAGAGCTGGCTAGGCTTCCTGTTGCTCCACCGGAGAGCATTACTATGGAAATGTTCCGATCCATCATGGCGGTAGTTATCATCACCCCTTTGCTTTAGTAACCAAATTCTTCGATCCTCCTCCCCCCTGACATATTCATGTTTCTCACCACATGCAGGTTGATAAGAAAGTTGCTGATGGGGTGCTAAGGCTTATCCTCCTGAAAGGTCCTCTAGGAAACTGTGTGTTCACAGCGGATTATGACAGGAAAGCTCTCGATGATACACTCCATGCGTTTTGCAAGTCATGAACAAAAATGCTGTTTTTATCTTATTTGAGCATATGATTCCCTTGGTGATTTTGTGTGTACTCCATCAAATGACTCCTACTTGTACCTGATCAATACCGCTGTATTATATTTCTGAGACCTTGAATTTGTTACTTGGTTGATTTAGCGGATCACGAGAGTGATGATCCAAAGGCTCTTACTTTATGAGCACTGTTATTCAACCACACTACAAAAGCTAATGAGTGCAATAGAGGCTTAGAGTAACTCTGCGCCAACAAAACCAGAACTCTTAGCAGCGGGAAGAGAAGTGCCTTTTGGGGCAATGGGTACACCTGGAACTCTCTACTAACGAATTTCCCAACACACCACGAAGGTTCATTTGATGCTACTGATGTGGAACATTTGTTGCATGTCTGGTCATTAAACACCTTGGAATGAATAGGGTGACGGGTGCCTTTGAATTCTATTTAAAAGTTGAGCACACAAAGAACAGTACTGAACAGAGAAAATAAAAGAAAACTTGAGCATTCTTATCATTGTCCTTGTTAGAAACAAGCTTCCTCTTTCCTCTTCATCCAAAGTCTTTCAGCGCAGACCTGAGAGCAAATATGTTTCTCAATGCTACAAGAAAACAAAAATAAAGTCCTAGCCATCTGTTTGATCACTGTTTTTGTGCTGCAGACACAGCTAATTAGAATTCATTATCAGAAGTCCAGAAATTCAATCACCCCTTGATCCCTAGACTCTAAACCCCTAAAAGCTACCAAAAATTAGCAGTCATTTGCAGTTGTAGCTTTGGTCTCGGGCGAGACAATCGACTTCACGTTCACACCAGCCACTTCAACTACTCCATTCGATCCATCCATTTCCAGATGCTTCACAGCAGCTTCATGAGGGGTCACATTATCGCCGGACTTGCCTTCAGAAACCTATGTTCACGAAAAAATGAAGTTATTGACGCAAGCTCTGCTCGTGGGACAACCAAAGACGGGATCCTGCATTGAAGAACGCAATCAAGAGAAGGCGTAAGCTCAATTTCTTACCTGCCTTTGAGTCCTCTGTCTGGCCCTTCTCTCTTGCATTACCCTCTCACGGGCTGCATAAAACCCAAAATCATCCAAGATGGATGTCTTGACCACACAACTCTTGAAAATTTTTAGAATCTGAACACCCTTCTCAGTGTCGACCTGCAATGAAAAAATGTAATTAATAAAGGACATGCAATGGAAAAACAGTTGAATATTTGAGTTACCAAGAAAATTTTCAGCACCACGCACCTCCTGAGTGTCCCGACTGTTTGTCACAGGTTTGTTTTCATTGTTTTCAAGTGTGATGTGTCTCAAAGAACTGTTTGGTATGTCCTTAACAATATGCCACTTTACCGGGAAGCATCCCTTCCATTTCTCTTGCTGCCAATGCTCCACAGTTTGGTCAAAATCAACACGACCAACCATCTCTGCCAAGCCAACAAATTGTCCGCTAGTGTTTACCTAAAAGAAACATTCAAAAGGCCATTACTAGGGAAGGAAGCGAAAACACCGCAACCTTCCGCATCAACCAAGTGATCGATCCATTTGTATAAATAGAAAACAAAACCAGGTGACGGTCTCAGAATACTCACAGAGAACAACAAAAACACAGGACAACCGCCAGAATTAGCTTGGGCTTCCTGGTAGGCTGCATCCAGCTTCTTATTACCATTAAGTGTGCTCGTCCAAACACCATACTTGATACTTTTATGTACATCATCTTCACTATATGATTTGATGACGAAGAATTTGGCTTCTGCGTATTCCTCCTTGAAATCTTCCCTGTTATACTGTTCAAACTTCTCCTCTTTGTTAGTCTCTGTTGATGGAACGCTTTGCCCTTCTACAGCAGATTCTGCACCAGCACCAATCTCCTTGTTGTTCTTAAAACTCTTGGCCCTAGGTCCCCTGTTCAGCTCACTTAACCCATCTATATTCTCATTGCCATAGCCACGACTCTTCGATTTGTACTTGTTATCGACAACCATCCACCCATGCCCATTTGTCCAAGAGTTATAGCCAAAGGAACCAAAACCACCAGCAGCTCCATTTCCATAGGGAGTATACATTCCATTAGGTGGGTACATCATGTATCCAGCACCTTTGCCAAAGGCAGAAGTAGGTCTTGTTGACTGTGAATTCTGAAATTACCATCAGACTAACATAAATATACTGTGTTTGTATAAAATCTAAGTACAAAGTCTACAAAAGGGCAACACTAAATGTCATTATTTTTCATTTTCCAAGATATTATGCACAATTAAATAGGAGAACAAAACTATAACATTAAAAAAACAGAAGGGATGCCAAGTTAGACACATTCTTGCAGCAGTATTTCCTATAAGTTTTATCATCATCGGACTAACCAATTATAGGTGAACCAAGCCATGACTGTAAAGGAAACGTTTTTTACATGGATACTGAAAAGACCATAAGAAAAACAGTTACAGCAAGGATACACATACCAGTCCCGAAGAGAAACCACCACTTCCATGTTTTGATGACCCATTAGAAAGCATAGGAGCATCCAACCAGGGGAATGATTGAAATCCACCATAACCAGGCCACAGATCCTGATAACTTGATGGAGGATAAGATGTTCGGCCACCTCCATTTTTATAAGGAACACCTGTTTTCGAAAACGAATTTTGGGTACTTGGTTTGAAAGGTTTTCCATTATTTTTACTCAGACCTCCAGCATTACCCCCAGTTGCAGTTCCAACACCTAAAGGTATATTGTCGCCCGTGGCTTGAGCTTGAATCTCCTTTGGAAGAGAACCAACATGGCTGGACGAGTGAAGGATATTATCTGAAGCAGGGTACTGCTGCGTCCCCTGCAGATGGCTATCCGGTGCTGGCATATATGATCCAAAAGGTGGATAACCATAACCTTGGGAGAACATAGCAGCATCATTGTCATGAAACATACCCTGCCAATAAGGAAATTATTGATCACAAACTGCCAACTTTCAGTAACGCTTCTAAACAATCATAGTAACAGGAGGTTATAACTTGATAAAGAGCAGACATAGAACTAACCTGTTGCATCTCAACTCCATCAGGAGTTACAGATCTACTATAGTCGCTCCATTCGTTGCCATGCCCATCATAACCTGAACAAGGAAGAACAATTAACATAAGTAACCAAGTCAAACCTGTACGTTTCAGTGACTTTCGAAGGAACAGTGATTCCTCTTGGTTCTAGCATACCTCCATAATAGTAAGGATTGGGGAAATAATAAGGACTTGGGTTGGCATGAAAAGGGCTTGCTGAGCGAGGCAATTGCTTAGCTGGATTACTAGTCAAGTCACTTGCTCCATAACCATCAGTAGACTGTACCAATTGATTTACCAACTGATCAATAACACAAGACTGAAAAGAACAGTGAACTAAATCAAAACAGATATGCTCACATACCTTCTTTACATGATCTGAAATATCAGTTATCTTGGTCTGAGATTCCAATGACAGGTTCTCAAGTAAATCTGCAGCTTCTGTAGCCAGACGAGTAAAGGAATACAACCAACAAAGAAACTAAGAACTCAAACAAAATAGTTCAAATATCATCCATTTCCAAAGACACCCCTGTTGACAAATGAAGCTAACCCTTAAAAGTCGTATTGAACAGCAGAACCAGACTTGAGCAGTGGCCCTTAACTCCCAACATTTTAACCCACATCCAAGAACAAAACAAAGAATAGACAATGCTCGCACTGCCTATCAACTCTCATTTGGGACAATATCAGCAAGCTATTTCATTCCCACTAACTGCAACTATCAGTTCTAAGCCTCCTCATCAGGTTAAATAAAATGAAGAAAGCAACCAGTTCGGCACATCGAAACCCTCAAATCCACCCCTTACGAAACCATTTGGGTAGAAGATAAATTCACATAAAGCAATTGCATTCTTGCAAATGGGTAGAAGGAAAACGATCGATTGAAGACATGGGATGCTAAACTCTAATAGAAGTCTAAGCATCGGGAGAAAAAGGATACGACCGGCGGATGAAGCAACAACGGCCATGGTTGCAGAGTGAGAAGAGAAGTTGGTACTGAAGACTGAAGAGGAAGGAAGCGTCGGGACTCGGGGAGGAGAGAAGCTGCGAAAAACCCTAGAATTTATAAAGAGTAGGGTTTTAAGTTTTCCTTTTTATTTTATAATAATATATATGTTTTCCTTTTTATTTGACTTTCCATGATTTCTCTTCTGTATTTCTCACCTTCAGCTGTGACTTGTTTGTTTTAATATAGCAACTTATTTTCTAACTTAACTTCTAACCGGTTTGTTGGCCGAAATATTCATATTTGATTATCTATATTTTATTTAACATTTAAGTCTATTAACCCGTTTAATTTTATTGATGATCATTCGATCGAGATGATACATATAAAAAAATATATAGGTCGAACATTCAAAAAAATATCGTCATCATTTATTAATATAAAATATAAAAATGTATCATTGATCTCATTTTCATAATGATTAGGTTAGAAAAATAGACGAGACCGTTTGAAAAACCATGATTCAGACCGGACCACACAGTTTGGTCCGGACCGTAGACCGTTAAGTATGGTCTGTATTATATGATGTTTTGATTTCTTGGTCTGGTCTGGCCTAGACCGCGGTTTACCGGACCAAACCGTGGACCTTGCCGACTTCTCAATACGTGTTAGCAGCTCACTCGACCACTCTCACAACTCCCAGAAGGATACTCAAGTCTCAATCTTAATTTTGAGAATCTCGTCCCCCTCCTTCATGCACAACCACATTTCACCAAAGAGTAGAGATGATCGTGTCTCTATATGACATTATGTAAATGTTTATGCCGTTATGGTACAAGTTGGGATGCTTTGACTTTGTATCTTTATTATTTACTTAGATTTATGGTGTCAAAATTATTCATGCATATTGGAATATATGTTTGAAGGAGAGAAAAAAATTGGCTATTGGTTCACTTTTTTGTGTGTGGTTGACTAATCAAATTGTTAATTTTTGGTTAAGTATGATCTATTTGGACCAGACTGTACCGGACCAGCCCGCATATGCGTGGTCTGGTCTGGATCGTATAATCTGTGGTTTGGTCTGTGGTCTATACTCCAATCTCTTGGTATAGATCATAACCCGTATATATGGTTTAGTCTGAACCAAACTGCACTGTTTCCCAGCCCTAATAATGATAATTAAGCCCCCATTAAAATGTAATTGGTTGGTTGGTTGTCAAGAAAGATAGAGTATAAAAGCTAATTGAAATTCCCACACGACCCATCGATAGTTTGAAACTAAATCTTAAACCTCAAAATCCTACTTAAGGGATTCAAT